TAAAAGGAACCTCCATCCTATTAAAATACTTCTGGCACAGGTAGCTGAATAGCACAGTACCGACGCTGTAGTCTGAGATTACCAAGTGCCTATGAAGTTAATGGCTATATTGGGTATGCAATGTAAGGATCTGCCTCTCTATTTATGTAACAATTATAATGGTAGAAACACCCAGGGTAATTAAATCAAGTTCTACCAGCAATTTTCATTACCCAGATGTTTTTTCTGCCCGTGCTTCACAAACCTGACAGCTTATGTGTATTGACATAACTGATTCCTTTAGCATGCTTGATTTTAGCTGGATTTATTCTTCTAAAATATACAATATGATTTTTAGGGTGACATTTACAGGCATTGAGGACAGACTGTTTTTGAGCAGATGTTTGTGTGTATGCCATTGACCTTTACAATTCCTAACTTTATTCATTGAGTTATTTATTTATTTAAATAGTTGTTCTTTAACTTACAAGTGAAGTTCCAGCACATTTCTTAGATTTTCATATTATTAACAATATGGGGAAATATTTTTCTCTTTTGGCAGATGTTTTAGATTTATTAACTCTTAATACTGCTTATAATAGCAATATTCTGATGATAGACATGGCATATATGAAGCAACTAGGTATAACAGCACAGTTGAGACATTTCAGCTGAGAATTATATAAAAATTATTTCGTATTAAGTGGATATACATGCAGTTTTAGTTTTTCAGTCTTATGTTCTGTAGGAAGACTGATATGCCACTGAATAACACATCCCATTTGCTTTTTCAGAGGAATTTTTTGCTTGCAACAAGCATCTGATTAATTTTGTTTATTATTTGTATTTGGGACTAACCTCATTTTATACCATCCAGCTTAGTATACGAATACAACTAAATGGCAAAAAACTCAACCACTTTTCTAGTCACCATAGTGGATTACAGATTGCCACTCCAGTGATGTTTCCAAGCCTTATTGTGACAAATCGATATCACTATTCAGCCACCTTATTCCCATGACAAGTTCTAATGCAATTTTCTTTTCCAAGAGTAATGGTGCCTGCTACTGGATAGTGACTAGGCCATTCATTCAAATATTTAAGTACTGCAATGCTCCCAAGAACCCCTGGTAAAAAGAAAGAAAACCAAAACAGAGTGGAGAGTTCTCAAGGGATCGGGGGAAACTGCAACTTGTGTAGCATCATAGTTTGGGCAGACTGGCAGCTTTCAATAAAAGCATAACCTAAATACCAGAAAAATGAGAGGCTCTGTTTGTTGCTTGCTCAATGTGAATAGAGAATCAAGCTTTGTTTCCAATGAATCAGCATACTGGGTGCTGAATTATTGCTTTACTGATTCCATGTCTAAAAAGGGAATTTAATGAAGTAAAAAATAGGGTGTAAAAGCTGGTTATGAAGTAGTGAACAGTGAAATGATAGTTGGATTCTCATCAGATTATCCACTGTCCATGAAAAGAGCAGCTGAAATCTAGTGATCACAGATGTGATATTGCTGTTAAATAGTAAAAATACAGAACCTGGTAGGAATTTCTCTCCTACCATTTTCGTTTAAAAAAAAAAAACAAACCCAAACAAACAATCAAAACCCAGAATATTTATTTTTGGTGCACTTTTCTTAGAAAGGCATAGATTTATTTTTTTTTAATTATTTTTTCACATTTTGCTTGTGGATAGATGTTTGTGGGCGTGCACCTTAGGTTTCTGTTTGTTGTAGAAAGCAACAGGTATAGGAGAAGTAAATGGTAATTATAGCCATCAGCTGTCTGGGACACGTCATTCTAGACTCTCCATACTGCCAGCCCTAGACTCCTGGAACATAAATACTTGTCTGGAGTCATGGGTGATACCAAGACATGGTAGGTACTATAGCATTTGATCAGCTGGTTCCAGCAAAGATGGCGGAAATCTCCTCTGTGGGTTTCACTTGTGTCAAGAGTCAAAAGAAGACTCTTGTTATAATGTTAGGCTGATTAGTAAGAAAATTTGAAGCAAAATTACCAACTCTATCCAGAGTAATTTCATATCCCTTGTGAGTTTCTTCTTCAAGAAATTTAAATAGTTCAATTCAGTAGAAATTATTATATATGCAATATATCCACATGTGAATGAGAATCTTTTCAGTGTTTTGACTGTCGAATCAGGTGCTAAGTGCACGTCATTTCAGATTCTTTGGCTTCTGTCTTATATACTGGTTGAAGACTGAACCACCAGTTGCAGTTGCTTAGCATTAAGCAAAATGTTCTTTCTTCTTCTGTGTTCTTTGCAAATGGAGAAGTCATTATAATAACCAGAAACAGCAGTGAATTATTAAATGTGTCGGTGAAGTACTCTTGACCTTTTCTGTCTTTCTGTTTACCTGCATTCGTAGTGATGCCTTTGGATACACATTTAATCAGTCATGTTACTGTTAGACACCAGGGGATGATGAGAGAGAGAAAGAAATCATAATGATGAAATCAGTATTTAAAAACCAGTGGTGAGGTTTGAAGAATAAACAATGTGAAACATACTCAGAGAAGTGTTTACATTTCTGTGCCCAGTCTGCTGAAGCTTTCTTATCTGTGCAACAAACTAATTGTGTTTATAAACAAACAAATAAATAATACGATTTTTCCTTTTTTGTTCTAAAGTCCTGCTCAGACATCTGGAGGACTTAAGTTTTACCACCCTTCTGCTTTCCTTTTGAACTTTGTTACTTCTGGGTCTTTGACTACCTAAATTGGAAGATCTAGATAGGAGAGCTAGATATTCAACAATCTGAAAATTCCTTTTACTCTTCATAGTAAAAAAAACATGATACATTCAGGGTCAGGTTGGATGGGGCTCTGAGCAATGTGATCTAGCTGAAGTTGTCCCTGCTCATTGCAGTGGGGTTGGACTAGATGACTTTTAAAGGTCCCTTCCAACCCAAACTGTTCTGAGTCCTTGATACGAAAAGATGTGAACATGAATTAATGTCTTGCAAAGAGCATGCATCTGGGATTTCTTTCTTACATTTTCGTGAACTGAGGGACAACCATGAGTGAAAATTGTGATCTGTTAAGCGCTGTTGAACTGAAGAACTGGTAATTTCCTTTTAGACATACTGGTAGTCACTTTCACTCTCCTTACAAAGTCACAGACACATGCCAGCCAAACTGCCTGCTGTGTTTACAGTATCAGTGATTTTGAAAGCTTACTGCTCCATGCGTTTGCCTTTGGACAGAATTCAGATCTTTCCTTTTTACTTGACACTTCAAATGTTTTTTTCTTGAATTTTCTCATGAATTTTTATTAGGGAAAAGTCTTCTGGGAGAGGAATTGAAAGACAAAAATAGGGACCCAAGTGGCCTCCAGACTGAAAGATTAGAGAGAAGTGGGAAAGCCTTTGGGAGAGATGGGAACTCTGTATTGGGGTGAGCCTCAAAAAGTTATGAAAATTGGCAAAATTGTAAGGCGGCATTCTCTGCATGGTTCCCACTACTCTTTGACTCCAGCGCGTCTGAAGCTGACTGTCGAAGACTTGAGTTCTCCTTGCTGCTGTTTGTTGTCAAATTTGAGAAGTGATGCTAAAGCTAGTAGAGGTAGAGCAGTGTTTTGGTGATGATAGACTCATTAGATGGGAGGCACCCGTACAGATGGCAGCAGGAGCAGCCTGTGGAGTTCTTGGCTGATGGATGCCCAGGTGGTGCCACCAAGAAAACTTACTCAGCTTTGCAGTTTTATTAAAAATAAAACCTACAGTTAGACCTCTCCTTATGTAATAGAATAGCAGCTATTAAAACAACAACAAGTATTTCAGAACTGAGAAACTTAAGTTTCTAGAATATCTGCATAAAGAGAGCAAAGTGCTATTTGTAGGATCTAAGTACCTTATTGGAATTAGACGTTTAATTCAACCAATGGTTTCTTTTGTAAAACTGTCATGACAACCTGAATGAATACCAACAATCTAAATCTTTTTCAGTTTCTCAATTCCCAACATAGTATAAATTTGTGAGTTTGTAGGGGGTTTTTGTTTGTTTGGGTTTTTTTTGGGGTTTGTTTTTGTTTTTTTTTTTTTTTTTTTCTTAAAAGGTGGATAACTTTGGTAGATGGGGAGAGGCTGTTTTTGACCTTGTGTAGTAACTGGATGTTCTTGGAGAAAAGAGTTGTTGAGACTTTAGGAGGAAGCAAAAGGAAGGGGAGGTCTCTGGGAAACTCCAGCTCATGTTCTCAGTGGAGAGAACACTTAAAGGATGAGAGAGCAGAAGGGGAGGGCAGGCGAAGGTGTGACAGACAGTTTTCCAGGGGCCAGAGGTCACTTTGAAGAGTTTGCTGTAACTCATAAAGTGCTGAATTGCCTGAAGCTCAGCTAGAACTAAATACTCCAGAAAATGCAGTGGCAATAGGAAGTCTTCTGTATAAGCCACTTCTACTTTCTGATGTAGTAGCACAAAGTTTTCTCTAAGAAAAAAAACAAAACCCAAAAGACCCAGCACACCCCACATGGGTTTTGGTGTCTATTGTTTATTTTTAACTTACAAGTTTTTGGTGTTCCTTGAGAGTTCATTAGCTGGGGACAGTTCCAGCAAATTGACCTGTAGGTTCTGTTTGACTAAAAGCCTGGATTGTGAAGCGACTGAGTGTAGATGCAGCTTGAGATGTGATACTGGCAAAATGATGCAAGACATTTATTTTAACCAGGTCTCATGCAAGTATTTGAGGTAAGCCAGGCCTTCTTTAAGATTTATGATTTAAGCAGTTGTCGGGTTAGGATGGTAGGTGTACTTGCTTAGAGTTAAAACTAGTCTACAGGAATACAAAATGAATATGGTGTGTTCACTGTCACTGTAATAAATGGAGTAACCAGAAATATTTAAATAATTACTTTAATATATTATCTGTAATTGCTGGAAAACATGTAGTACAAAACCTAGAATCTGCTAGTTCACGTTAATTTTGCCTAAAGATGCAGGGAATGGAAATAACATCTGAATGTTATTTTGAAAGTCTTTTTAAATGGTCTTTTTCTTTTTTAGGAAATCTTTAAGATAGAAGGGAACCTTGGAATTCCAAGACAAAAAAGGGCTATTTTGGCAACTCCGATACTAATTCCTGAAAATCAAAGACCACCGTTCCCCCGATCTGTTGGCAAGGTAAGTCAACAAAGAACAGGATCAAATTTTGTTATTAATTGATCTATTTCTCTTAATATTTGTAGTGCCTGTCATGTTGATAGTAATATCCCAGACAAAATTAGGAAGCATAAAGCTTAACAGAGATGATTTTTTTTTCTGCCTGTGATGTGTAGCACACATTCTGATAAAAAGCATTAATCAGAGATGTATGATTTCATGCAGCTTCTAACTTCAGTAGAGGTGCTGATACCTGTGCATCTGTGTGTTAGACTGGGGCTGAAATTTAGGCCAGGAGCTTCATGAAGAATATCCTATTGCATTGTTTCTATTCTCAAGACCTAGAAGGGATTCAAAGGACATTGCATATAAAAACATCTTTTGTTCATTTTTTAGTTAATTGCTAAATAAGTCTTTGCAGGTGTTTCCAGTTTTATTTTCTGTTGTTTTTAAAGGTCTGGCAAAGAAATGGAAAGTTTTTCTAGTGTCTGCAGGCAACCAAATAAACGAGAGTTTTAACAGCTGCTTTTCCAGAATTTCAGATATACAGCTTGTATATACAAAATGATTAAAACTAAAATACTAATAATTGCTCAAATGGCCATTTAGGCATGAGAAGTTGTAATTACATGAATATATTTTGCATGCTGGCAGTTTTGAAACAGGGACCCCTATGCATCGCTCCGATTTTAGTAGGTGTGTTAAAGACATGATGACCTATACACCTGTTATTCATCTCAGTGGCCAGTGCCACCCAAACCATGACAAGTCTATTCTTAATTTCCACCAATATGACTTCTAGAGCTAAATGCACAGCTCGAGGGCAGAATTTTACTCTACAATCAATGTGTAATTTAGCTAGCTGGCACCTAATCAGTTACTCTAATAATTAGGAGAGGTTGTTTTCCTATCAGTAAAAAGAAAGAATAATCTATGAAGATTTCATTTTCTTCCCTTTCTCTATCAATAATTTATACTGATCTCATAAATTTCCATAAGTTTTTCTATCTGAAGTATTTTTTAAATGTATCCTAAACTTTGTAAAGCCATTTTTGAACTTTTCCCTTTACATTTCAGTGTTTTAGATCAATATCTGAACTAAATATTGCTCTTAATATGTTAGTGATAACTAACTAATTTTTAAGACTTCTGTTATGCAATTTTAAAGTAGTGAGGTAATCACAAAGGTTACTTAAACACAGATTTATAGTCTTTCTTTTTTTGTTGTTATTGTTTTAAATCTCCCTACCCCCTTCCACACCTACTGTTCGTGAACACGGAACTTACAGATCTGAGGTAGTCTGAGTTGCTCTCTCGATCTGCCTTCATTAAGTACTTTTATTCAGAGATTAAAATGCTAGTCCTGGTAACTGAGGTTCTTTAAGGAGAACGAGATGATTCAGGTCCTATTGTATTAAATGTTTTCCTAGCATCTTGCCACCTTAGTTTGTTATTGTTCCTGAAATGCTAGTCAGGGATCACAAGTTAAGTGCATTGGATGATGTACAAACACGGATGTGTAAAAGCATCTGGCAGTTTGTTTTTCAGAGGCCCTAAAACACCTATCTTCAACTAGTGTTTCAATTATAGGAACTGCAAATAATCAGAATCTTGAAATACTTCGAGCTGTCATCAATTTAAAAAGTCTTTAAATATTTTTTTCATTATATTTCTAATTTTAGAATCTAGACAAGAGTATTTTGGCTATAGTCCATTGCAGGTAGACTGGCAATACACATACAGTGTGTATGTGTCAAGTGAGACAAAAATTTTAGACTAATTTAAAATAATGGAATAAATATTCTACATATATGCAGTAATTTGCAAATTGATACTTAACAAAGCATAAATAAAAACGTTTGGAGCCTCAGACATACTGATGGGCGGGGAAGAGATTCTATTGTTCCCTAACTAAAAAATTCAGTAGGAGTCAATGCTGAAAATAAAAGCAATGATTTTAGGTCTTTTTGACATATCATAGATCTTTATAAGACATGCTGTGAACTCTTCATAAATAGAAATAGTCTGCACTACTCCAGGGAACCTTAGACACCCAATTCATGTACTTGTTTCAGATCATGCACAAACTGTAGAGAAGGCTGACTATCTATCTCTTAATTTTAGATGTTTATTGTGAACTGTACGTAACTTCATGAATTTGCAAAAATTTATTTAGGTATCCACTTCTGTAAGGTGCAAGAAACATTTAATTCCTCTTCCACATTATTTTGGGTCTTATCTTCAGAACCCTCAACAGGGCACTACATGAACTGGAGAATTAGAGCTTCTGATGTGTATGAATTTCTCTTGAACTTAAACTTTGTTGTCTCTGGTCTGCCGTAATCACTGTGAAGGGACATTGCAGTTCTGTTCTTTAGCCGTGGTTTCTATATTGTTTTGGGGAAGAGAGAAAACGTACAGAGAGTGGATAGCTTGCATGTTATGTTATGCATATGTTTATTCGTACGTCCTGACTGTCTCTTCTTTCCAACCCACACCGTGTTGCCTGGAAATGCACAAGGTTGGTTGGAAGTGATTGCAGCAGCCACCAACAGTTGAGCTGGGCATGCACTTGGGAGCTGGGCAGATGTGCAAAAACAGAAGAGCAAGGGGAGAACAAATAGTTACATTCTATTTCACAATTATAAAACAAAAGCAAAAACAACAAAAAAAACATGGGGATTTTAGAGGACTTTATTCATTAAGGTTTGGTGATATAAATCAGGAAGTAGATATTGCACTGGACAAGTGAAAAAATTGGGTTTTTTTAATTTATTACAAAAATTCAAATTAGTATTTGTGTAACAAGGGAATACACGTTTAGAGGCTGTTTTTTTTTTAATTCATTACAAAAATTCAAATTAGTATTTAGTGTAACAAGGGAATACACGTTTAGAGGCTGTTCTCTGTGCTGTTACTGGCTTTCCAGCATACCCATGTAGGAATTAGATTATTGCCTTGCCATTTGCACACCCTTCTTTAGGGTATCTCTTAATTAAATATCTATCATAGACGTGCTGTGCTTGTAGGTAGAAGAATCTCACCTTTTAGCAGAATTTAAGATTTTGCTTATTATCTTTCATTCCTGGGGAAAAACAGTGAGATTAAAATATTTTAATACAGTCTTGGTAATATGGGCCATTGTGACCAGATGGCCCAGGCTACAACTGTTGACTGTTATTGATGTGTTTTGTTTAGCTCTTGCTGATATAGCACAGGGATATGATACTCAATTTTTAGTCTCTCTCCATATGTTACTTTTCCGGTTTATTTGTCCACATCACATCAAATGAAGTACAAAACAGTGGGATGCAGGATTATCTTGTAATTATGAGGATAGGTTAATGAGGATAGGTTTCCATGGTATTCTAAGGAAAAGTTTTCTAAGACTAACTTAAAAGTGGTGGTTCTCTGCATCTATTTGATGATAATCTCCAGGCACACTTTAACTATGGTGATAACTGCATGATGGTACTTTTTGAAGTTTAATCCTTACACTAATGCAGAGTTCAAAGTGCAGGAAGGTAGTTGTGGAGATCGTCAACAAGTTCCAGCTCTTCTTCCAGACATTAGAAGATGGACATACGTAAAGTGAGTGTATTAATATAGGCTGAAAGGATTTGCTATGGATTTTATTGATGGGCATATGATGAATTCATGGTTCTATTATTTAATTTAAAGGAATTGTCCTTCATAAGAACAAGTTTTAAATTTGTTTGTGCTTAAGATCTGAAAGCCATGAGTTGCCTGGTAAAAATTGGCAGGACTTTCTAAGCTCAGTAAAGTCCGGGAGACAGAAGTACACAGTAAACTTTATAGGAAGCTAGTACTGAATGAAAAAAAAATAACCAAAACCTTATTTTTTGCCAGTAAGAGACTTTTTTTAGTTGTTTTTTCTTAGTTGTTTTGTCCTTTTGGAAGAAGAGGGGGTGTTTGTTCAGATACTTTGCATCAGATAGTGCATATGTACTCCCTGCCTCTGTTCTTGGCTGATGGACAGTTAGCTGCCAAATGACAGACGTCAGGACTCACCTAAACAAAAGCTTAAGATAAAAAGTGGTGCAGGCTAGCAATCAGGATATAAATCTTTAAGATCTATGAGGGGGTGTTCTTTTTTCCTCCTCTGAGCTGTGAATTTAAGTCAAAGAGAAAACACAACTTGTCTATTAATGCAGCAGTAGAAATAAACCTGAAGAGGGGAAGAAACTGAAGATAACTGGATGGAAAAGCTGCTGGAAGCTTATTATTTTTGAGTGGCTATCTGATTGAGGCTATTTATATATGATAAATTATATGCTTCACAGAAGAACAGCCTTAAGTGCTAAAGATGCAGCTGGAAAAAATGCCAAACTTGAGGGAAATGTTTGAAGAGAAGGTGATAGAAGTCTCAGGAGAAATGATCATGATCCACCAACCTCTGAAGACAATCTAGAGAGGAGTGTAGATTACACAGGAACGTGAGAAAGACAACAGAACAAGAACAACAGGAAAATAAAAGCTGAACTATGAAGTGCATTTGCTGTACTGGCAAATTAGGCAGAAAATGAGTGAGTGGGGAGAGAGAGCCTAAAGAGACAAGGAGGAGGGAAAGGACTTAACTAGGATGGGTGTCCAAGTCTGGAAGACAATAGCGTGCACTGACAGAGAACAGAATAATGTGCAGAACAGAGGACCTGTACCTAAAAGCCTTTCTAACACCGAGAGAGAGAGAGAGGTCTGTGTGACTCCTTACCAACTTTTCAGTTGCTTAAGGTTTGAATCTCAGTTCTTGGTTCGCATCTTCATGTCAGTTACTAAAAATGTATTTTTATACTTTTTACTGTGGAACCAGAAGTGGGTCTGAGGTCTACAGGAAAAATCCAGTGGATTTTTAAAAATTATTTTTTAGTATCGATTTACTTGTTTTCAAATCATCACCACATCAGATGTAATGACCAGGCTGTTCCAAAGAGTATGCTCAGAAAAGAGGAGGTGGTTATCGGCAAGAATTTTGACTTGTCCAGAAGGCAAGAAATTTCAGC